AAATGAGTTGTAAATTTATGAATACATATAAATATATGGTGTAGTGGTGTACATGTATCATTTATTAAGTATATATAGTTATATCATATAGTATATCGTATAATAGTAAAGACGGTAGCCAATCTTTGAATAATAAGAAAAAATCGAATGTAAAAGACTCGTTTAGTGGTTATTGCATATATTATAGTTGAAAATGCATTGATGCATTGTCGGTTATATACATGCAATAACTTATGTTTTCGATAAAAATAAAGTAGGTAAGTTAGTAGGTATATAAAAGTAGGCATCATTAATATTATTATTATTAAATATTTCCTTGTCGGCGGTGGCTATTAGGTTGTGCGCATATTATATTCATACCTATCATTGTAGTGGAGACGTGGTACACATAAATATGTATAAACATAATATATATAATATATATACCATATATATATATATTCGTACCGGGTAATACAAGATAATATTACTATGTAAGTGCGTTTATAGCATATTTATTAATTTTCAACCATGAAAGTAGATTTACGGCCAATAAGAAGAGACACAGTAGCGGCGAAACGGGCGTTAATGACAAGGCCCTGGTGGACTTTTACGATACGATAATGACCAACCTAAAACTATTGCGACCGCACACTTTATTGGCAATTTTTCCCCTCTTGGTAGCGGCAGTTAGCCACCGGCGCACGTTCCATTGTCGGTTGACGCACCAATTTTACGACTGTGTGGCCGTGTGGGGCAACTCCGACCACGTGCGGGTAAATTATGTATAATAATATAATATGTTATTATATTATGTAGGTACCTCGCCGCAATGACTTATATATTATTACTGTCCTGTAAGGCGCGGTAGGTAGGTAGGTATGTAACAGCTAAAATTTATGTTTCGTTCAAATCAAATAAATTCGGTTGTTATTATAATTTTTTTTTGCTCCTTAAATTAATGATCACTTAAACTTCGTATAATTGTATTGTATGTATTATAATATTGAGTGGAACAAAGCATTGGATTATTCAATATTCATCTCGGTGTCAAATTGCCGTGTGATGATACAATTATATTAAAATTATCACAGTTAGAAAAACGGACCATTTAAAATAAACGGTTGAAGTTTTGGACAAGAGTTATCTAATTTAAAATGTTTAAGACTTATTGGCATAATATCGTATAGGTAGGTAAATATTACGTGGTGTTACAATATTCACATATCTGCTTGCCACTTGGTTATACATATATTTTCCATTGCTTTTTTATTTTGTATATTTTATGAATTTATTATTTACCTATTATTTATTTATTTTGTTTTTTAATATACAGATACCATTATAGTTGCTCGGTTATATACTATAAACGTGACTAAATATAATATCTTAAAATTAATTGTGATTTCTATATTATTATATAATTGCCAACAACAAATAACATTATTGTAACGTCAAAATTATTAATGAAGTATGCCGTATGGTTACTTTGTTTCTTCTTTATAATTAGTTATCCATTTATTTTATTGATATAAGTGTGTAGTAAACAAGGAAATCATTTAAAATATATACTGTTATACATCAACAGCTGCTAATTGAAATTATAAAATATTAATTTTTAAACGTGGTGACCATCATATATTATATAATTTATGTATAAACTGATTATACTTCAATTCAATCAATAATTATGATATATTCTATATATTTATAATAGCATACAAGTTTTATGACAACTAAAAAATGTATTGTTGCACCTATTGGCTTAAGCTTGAAAAATAAAAATAAATATTATTTCAAACGTTCTATAGATAGTGTAAGTGGGTCCGTTGAAATATTCTGTCGTCGTCGTCTTGCAGACGAGTCGAGTCTTTTAAAGCGTATTTCGAGTTAGTGTGGTGCAGTGTATGTAGGTATATAGGTAGTCGACAGTCGTTGACTCGTTAACGACGTGGGAACGCGATTGTATAATGTATTGTATGCCCATGCTTATATATATGTAGGTAGTATAATGGAATTCGATAAAATAACATTTAAGAAAAATATAAGATGATGATAATAATAATAATAATATATTCGTTGTTCGCATTCGTGTGGTGGTGGTATAGTGTTGACTGGTGCGATGTGGCGGGAGAAGAAGTGTCGTTCAAAAATAAATGTCAAGTGCGCGTCACCGGAATAACATACCATGTATATTGTATATTCAATATTGTATGTGTAATATATAAGTATCTGCTATACCTATATATAATGACAAATGGCTGTATATACATGTATTATTTACATACCTACTGCATTACACAGTAAACACACACAAGCACACATACACACACACACACACACACACACACGCGCGCGCGTACGTGCTGTGTGATGTGTACTAACTATATAACTACGAGTGGGGGGTGGTCGGTAAGAGAAAAAACAAATTGAAAATAATAATAATAATAAAAAAAAAATAGTTATTTTTTATTGTAATAAAACTCCCAGCATTTGTGCCCCACCGCTGCAGCCCTTTATACCTACACCACCGCCCTGTCGCGTCCCGCACTCCCGCGTCAACCCCCCGCGCATTGTGGTGTGTGGTGTCTAGCGCAGGATGCAGTCGGTGGCGGTTGTCGTCTCGGTCGGCCGGTCGGTGCGCGCACGGGGGCGGGTCCGTGCACCGTAAAATGCTGGATTGGTCGGCCGGCCCCCGCCGAACAACAATCGACAACCGGCTATATAATAATACCATATATATATATATATATTATACTCACCTAAGGCGAGCACGTTTTAAAAACAGCCCTTGCCGATTATATTATTATCGTCGTCGCGCGTCGCCCGTATACACGTATACATAATATGGGTGTATAGGTGTGTGTACGCACCATGTATATAATATAGTAATAGTAATATGTAGTAAGAGAGAAAGAGACAGACGGACGGACGGACGGAGACGTGGCGACCGACCTTTTCATCGTTGATTAATGATCAATCGCATCGGGTTTTCGAACGAGTGGCGTGTCTGTGTGCTGCGCGCCGCAAAAAAAAAAAATGAAAAAAGAAGGCAAAATCCTTTCCTTTTACTCGTGTCGCCCCGACGACGGCGACCTTTGATCCCCCGCGCTCACTGTCCCAATGATTTATTATTATGCTGCGCACACGCACACACGCGTATCACACACGACACTGAACATAATACAACACGAAAACGGCGTGGCGTCGGCATGTCCAACAACACTAATAGTGTATAATAATAAAATATAATATATACGGTCCACATAACGCGTGTATTGTGTCGTCGTCCGCGGCGGACGATCCCGTGAGACGTGCGAAAAAAATTGTTAACCCACCATCATAGTCGTCTTTTTCACGTACACCTATACAGCGCACCCCACAGTCAATTCGTGCTTACTGCTTGGACGATAATATAATATTCGCGCGCATTTAATAAAGGAGACATATATCTATAATATATTATAATATGTCTCATGTGCATCACCTGCAGTTATTTCTTCTAAATACGTACTAATAGACGATTTCCATTTCCATAATATTATACGAAGATTATTGTTATAAAATGCCTATATATCGCAATTCCTTGCTATGGTCAATTCATTATAAAACTAAAAAAAATTTGCTTGATCGTTTTTTTATTACCTTTAAGTTTATGACTTGGTACCAAACGAATACGTTGGAATGGCATCAATGCATCATTTGGGTCGTGCATTTCGGTAGAATGGTTAAGTCAAATACACACAAATGCGTTTACTTATATATGGATACATATTGCAGCATGTTGGCATATCCAACAATTTCGTCATATATTATTCCGTTTAAATTGTGTACAAGTATATGTCATACATGCCGGATCAGTAAATTTTCGTACCGAGAAATATGTATTTTACCGGAGAACAAATTTCTATACATTCATATAATATGAGCTTTATACTTCAGCAATACAATTGGATTATAATTTTACGGAATCACTACTGAATACTTCGACTCGGAATTTTATGTTCACCTTTCAAACACACCATTGCAGTATTCCTTCTTCTATACTTTGGATAACAATTTGATATCATATTAATTTCTCCAAAAAAAATTGTTTTTATAAAACATTGCATTAGTTGCATATACCTGCAAGAACGGTAGGTATATTAAAGCCTTTAGGTACAATTGATATTATATGGTCAATGGTGGAATAACATATATTAATATAATATACCTACCACAATTATGGTGGCATGGTACAAAAATCGTTCAGATCCAATCCTGCCGTTGTCCGCGGCTTCACAGCGCATACAAATAATCTTGCATACACATTTTTTTTTGTTATATCATAGATTTACGACTGTATAGGTACACGTTTTTTGAGCGACTTTCGCGTGGTTTTAATGATTGTATTCCGAGAATAATAATATTATATCTGTCGTCGTCGTTATTGTGCACATTACTACCTATGCATATATATTATACACGCATGCAAGCAATAAAGCCCAATTCGTTTATTGCACAACGGCGATAAAGCGCGGCGGCGGCGATTACCCGGAACTTTTTTTGTTTTCATGCGCTTGAGGTCGGTGGGAGCGCAAAGAGAAACGGAGTCTGTCCGTCGGTCCGTCCGATGCGGGCGGCGGCGGATGCTGTAGCCGCCGCTGTCGTCGCAACCTTCGCCGCCGACTACGACCGGCCCGGGAGATGGACAGTTCGTGACGAGGTGTCCGGTAGCTCGGAAGATATTTTATACATATTTTTCGTTCGTTCCACCTTCGCGTAACGTCGTATTATACAGCGCGCGCGTTCATACCTATAATTTAATATTATATTTATCGTATAATCACTACCATCATATAGACACCGTTATCCGTTTTTTCGTCAATATTTTATTTTTAGCATTTTTTACCTTACGTTTCGTATATTTATTTTTAATAATTATTGCATGTTACATCTGAAAATGTATTCGTATTTATAATATTACCTTTAATATATGTACATTATTGTATTGTGCGGATTAACATGTTAATCCGTGCGAAATGATATCCGAAAATGTGTGCCGGTTCGAAGAGGTGCAGCCATTATCGTTTTGCAGGAGATTTGATTTGGCCGATTGCAGTTCTCAGGTTAGCACTCACCATCATGTTGCAATATAATATAACTATATATATATATATTATGTATCTATATATATCATATATGTATATGATTTCGTTGTTAACACTTTTAAATGACTTAACACGCCGTATACCATACACAGCAATGATGGTATGACGGGTACGTTAGTTGAAGTCTCTCAAGATTGACCGTTATCTTCTGACGATATTCCGTTTCTTATTAATATAAAGAATTTTTTGTTTAATTTAACTGTTCTGCATTCAATATTTTAAAAAGTATTGATTTGAAAATTTCAACACTAATGATTTATATAGGTACTAAGTTAAAAAAAAAAAAAGAAAAATAATGCATTTGAACATAACATGAGGGCATTAACACGACAACAAAGTAAATACTTTTATAAAAATATCTTAATCACACTTCTTATTATTTGCTCGATAAGCACCTGCAGACTCATAATATATGTATATATATATATATAATACTATAAAAGTAACAGATATACTTTTTAAAACTTTCAATGGATAGGAGGACGTTAATTATTAAACATAGCTTTCAAATACCTATAGGTAACTTGGTGTTATTTAGACAGGGTATTTTAGAATAGTTGTATAATTGAATATAGTTATGTATTAAATATTTTAATTTAAATGATTTTAGAAATGAAAATCATATTTAAATATGTAAATACAAAAATAAATTATAATATACAATTATTACTATAATATAATTTTAATTCTGTGTCGCAATCTATATTGTTATAAGCCTTTTTGAAGTAAACTTTTTTTGTTATACATTTATGATATGCGTAGGTACCTATAAGTACATAGCATTATCTTGTACAAATATACGTGTCTACATAGGTACTACTTGTATATTTAAGTTGTAAGTATTATATAGATGTATACTGTATATATATAGTTGTGTTACAAACATTTATTATAGCTATAATAGTTTATTATACAGTCATAAAATCTTAAAAATTAACTCATTATTATAATGTTATCTGGTATTAAAACATAGATTTTATAATTATGAACAACATTTTTAGAAACGTAGATTTTAATCACCATCTTGGCGTATTGAGCATAATTTTCGCAACAATTTATCGTGATTATATTGGTTTAGCTCCTTATTTGTCCTATGCAGAGGTAGGATAGCGCAAGTACGCTTACTGAAAAAATCATATTTTATTCACCTCAGTGATTTTTAATCATTATCACTGTGAATCAAGGAACCTGTGACACACTGCAGAGACAAGCAACTTTGCATCACGTGATGCTAGGTTTTATTTTAAGAGGGAGGGTAGATTTTTATTTTTTTTAAATAACATATACTCTAGCTAGCTTACAATAATATATCTTTACCAACTGTAGATAGATTAAGGTATATATATATATATATTATTATTATATCATTTTAATAGAAGAAACATATAAGAATAATATGATTGGCTGTTAAATTTAAAAGCTCTGTATATTTATGTTTAGAAAAAGTCGGTATTATTGTAGTATCACATATTAAATATTTAATCATGTAATCAAATGTTTTGAACGAGAAAACCGCGGTTCCGTATACTTAAAACCCGAATACCAAAACAACAGCTAGATTAACGAATGTCGAAAGCCGTGTGTGATTATTATATTATTTTTATTATTATTATAATCATTATTATCATTATTATCATCATTATTATTATCATTGTTGCTATAAGGGACACGGGGCACACTGGTAACGTGTCTCGGTCATTAAACGAGGGAGGCGTTATGCAGTAAAATACGTGCACGAGCGTCGTCGTCGTAGAAGTGTGTTCGCGGTGCGTCCAATATGCGTTTTATACAACACCGTGCGCGGTTAAGTCATATTATTATACATCTGGAGACCTTAAATTACACGTAATACTATGCTGCGGGCGCGTGTGTGTGCGTGTGTGTGTGTGTGTGTGTGTACATTCGTGTGTGTATATAACGCGCGTCTATTAAAGTAATTAGGCTTTGCGCGAACCCACCGGCCCCAGGTTTTTTACATCTTTCTCTCTCTCGCTTCTTTACTTTTTTAATTTATAGTCGGCCGTCCTTCAAACGGCCGCCGACCTGCCTGCCCGCGTTTATTTGATCTACACAATTTTCCAAATTATATACGCCCCCTAATAAGTCTCACAATCAAATTCAAATAAGGCGCCGCCGCTCTATTTGTCAACGTGAACTACCGGGTTGGGGTGCTCGCACACGTCAAACACTCACCGCGCAAGCAGTGTGTGCGCGGAGAATTTCCCATGATAAAAATATAATGTAATTATGTATTATTACTACATGTACGTAATATTCAAATTGTCTCGCCTAAAAAAAGTCAGAACTATTACATATACCATACACCCAAACGCAAACCATCCTTAATACTATTATAATATTATGTTTATACGACATACGTATTCCTCGATAGCTGTAAGTAAACATGTGTGTTCTCGAACAATAACGACGGCCTTCAAACGTAATTATTATACCAATTACAAAATTTGATCGTTCAAATAAATCTTTACAGTACCCATAATAATATAATAATTATTTTTAGCAATGAGTGACAACAATCAACCACTTAATAAGTTCTTACAGTGTCTATTCTGAGATTGATGTCTCATAATATAGTCGGTCAAAAATCACATATATCGAATATTATCTTTGTTGGCTATTAGAAGTTAAGTACTTTTACAAGTTACAGTAACTATTTTATACATTATGTTACTTTCGAAGTTATTTTAGTGTAACATTGAGACGTTTGCAAATCGGCAAACAACGAGTATGCTATACGATCGTTTCTCTGTAAGTTATTATATATGTAATTTAAGATACTTAACTTTAGTAAAATTACTAAATTAATCGTTACTTAAATATGTCATATAAATGCGATTTTCTGGCGGTTACATTTTACTATTTTAGTAGTAACTATTTGACAAAAATATTGTATTTATAATAAGACTGCAGTAGTTATTTATAAAATGCATTGCTATTTAAAATAAATATAAAAATTAAGAATTAAATGGTGTTCAACAACCATAATGTCTACTATTTGGTTTTTATGATTAAACATTTTACAAAATTTCATAGTTTTGAATTTTGATAACAATTCCTCAATTAATGCTTCGACAACATAATTAAGCTCCAGTTATATTTTTGAAAACAAAAATGAAAATAACTTTAATTGTATTGAATAACTTTATCAATGCAATTACGAATGCCATCGTATGGATTCGAGACCAGCTTGATCTGAATTTGTAAAACTATATTACTATGACAATCTTTATTATTCCTATTACCTATTAATCTTTATTATTCATTATTATTATTGTTAATGTTGTAGTTATCACTGTTATAGCATACTAATTATTTATCACTTATTTATTGTTTCTAAATATATAATAAATATTTACATTATGGCGTGACAAAGGCAAATATTTTATCTGGCAATTCATTTTTTTTTACCATCCCTTGACTCCTACGCAGTACCCATGTGACATGTATACGATGTACAATATGCACAACAAAAATGTCTCTTTATTTTGAATACTGTAATTGAATTATTAATTACTATTTAAAATTACACCTAGTATTTAATATTAAGGTCATGTCATAATTCTTATTAAACTATTGTTCAGACATCAGACCTATCCAGTACTCATCCACCCTTCTCTTCAAAATCATAGTCAACACCGTATATAATATTGTGTATTATGTATGTATATTGTATAGTTTATAATCATTGGTTATGCCATACGAATAAATGAATAAATTGTATTGACGTTACTTTGTTAACAAGTACCTATAGTTAATTAAAAATAATGTAACTTGACCAAATAAAACAAAAATAACTTAAGAATAATTTAATGGTAATTTGTAATGTAATTTAATTTACAAAAAAAGTAACTTCCTCAAAACTACCTGCGAATCTGTCAATCTTTGTGATCTGTTTAATTCTAGCATTAAAATGCATTGGGTACAAAAAAAACAAAAAAAAAATTATATCAAGTTCTATATAACTATATATTACTATCTACTATCTATATTTGTTACTATGTGATACTTCAAATAGTTATTTACTTATTATACATCTATACGTCCAAAAAAATCAAGCTGGTACTGAATCTTCAATTAATTGTCAGATTTTGTTTGCTAATATTGTCGGCAGATAATAATCATTGTGGTATATCATAAATTTTGTTATAAAAAATAACATTATAATAGTATACCTGCAGTACACTACAGTAGTACTTACTATTAAAAAAATATTATTAATTTTAGTGTAAAAAGTAAATATAATGGTGGCTAATATGTAGTATGACTGAAACTTTGCTTGGTTGGTTCGTGTCCGCCATTACAAATACTTTTAAACATATGCGAATATTAGACAGACGGGATTCTCTCTTTTCTCCGTTAATAAAAGAAATATAATATACATTAAACTGCGCCGCGCCGGTGTGGAGAGTGAACCCTATAAAAAAACCTTCGTGCATAGTTTAGCGAACACGTGAACTACCTACGGTATTGTTACACTGTCTGTTAACAATATTTTTTATTTTTTTTTTTTTTACGATCATCGATTGACATTAAATCGCACGTTGCGTATATAGTCTTCGGTGGGTGCCGACCAAAGCAGCCCGCCGCCACCGTCGCTACACCGGCCATACCGCGCGCATCATATTATATTAATATAATATTATGTACGTATTATGCGTACACATGCTTGCTACATTGGGAACCAATGATGGCCAGAAGGTCTGAAAGGTAAAGGCATTCATATAAATGCCACCGAGATTATGATTTATTCCCCTGATGTTGTCGGGTGCCTCGTAGAAATTATATGGGCCTCTCTCGCATTCAATAATGTTCCTGTCCGACAATATAATAATGACCGCAGCAGCCGCGCGTAATAATAATTATAATGATAAAGTTACCTGTTTATTATTATGATAGCTGGTGGAGCGGTCGGCGATTACGATGGTAGCGGTGGGGCG